CCAATTAAAAAATGGGAATAGGACTTGAACAAACACTTCTCCAAGGAGGACATACAGAACATTCAGAGACACATGAAGAGATGCTCAATATCGTTAGCTATCAGAGAGATGCAAATTAAAACCACAATGAGATACCACTTTACACCAGTAAGGATGGCTATCATAAACAAAGCAACAAACAACAAATGTTGGAGAGGGTGTGGGGAAAAGGGGACCTTAGTTCACTGTTGGTGGGATTGCAGACTGGTACAACCATTATGGAAAACAGTATGGAATTTTCTCAGAAAAATAAAAATCGACCTGCCTTTTGACCCAGCAATTCCACTGCTAAGATTATATCCTAAGAACCCTAAAACATCAATTTCAAAGAACCTATGCACCACAATGTTCATAGCAGCACAATTTACAATAGCCAAGAGTTGGAAGCAACCTAGGTGCTTGTCAGTAAATGAATGGATCCAAAAATTGTGGTACATATGCACAATGGAATTCTATGCAGCAGAGAGAAAGATGGAGCTACTACCTTTTGCAACAACATGGATGGAACTGGAAAGCATTATGCTGAGTGAAATAGGTCAGGTGCTGAAAGACAAATACCATATGATCTCACCTTTAACAGGAAGCTAAACAACAAAACCAACAAGCAAGCAGAAAAAAAAAAACAAAGACACTGAAATAGAGAACAAGGGGATAGTGACCAGAGGGGAGAAGGAAGGGAAGTTAAGGGGAAAAAGGAGGAGGGATTTGGAGGAACAAATAGGAAGGACACAGGGACGAGAACTAAGGGGGGTGGACATGGGAGGGAGGTGGGGAGCAAGGGGCGGGAGGAGGCTGGGATGGGAAAAATAGACAAAAAACTGTACTTGAAAAATAACTAAATAAAATTTTTAAAAATTAAAAAAAAAACAACTGTACTTGAAAAATAACTAAATAAAATTAATAAAAACACAAAAAACAATGATCATAACTGAAATGATTTACAAATTTTACTATACTAAAATTAAAAAAACTTATTTGATATTTCAAAACAAAAAAATAAATAAAAGGCAGTAATCTGCCAAATCACATTGCTGACCACAGGGGATAATTTGTCATAAATTCCAAGACTGTCCCTGAATAATGACATTTAACCATTATTAGATAATTCTACCCCATATACCCAGGTTTCTTTTTTTAATTTTTATTTTTTTAATTGATTATGCTGTTACAGTTGTTCTATTCCCCCCTTCATTCCCCTCCACACTACCCCCCATCCCTACCATTACCCCCCTTTAGTTTATGACCATGTGTCTCCAGTCCTTTAGAATCTATATTTCCCATGCTATTCTTGCCCCCCCATCTATTTTCTTTCTACTGTCTATGCTACTTATTTTTTGTACCTTCTCCCCCCATCTCCTACTCCCACTCCCCTGTTGCTAACCCTCCTTGAGATCTTCATTTCTATGTCTCCACTCCTGATCTAGCTGTCCTTTTAGTTTGCTTTCATTTTAGGTGTGGTTGTTAATAACTGTGAGTTTGTTGTCCTTCACTGTTCATGTTTCTTTAACTTCTTTTTCTTAGATAAGTCCCTTTAACATTTCATATAATAAGGGCTTGGTGATGATGAACTCCTTGAATTTGATCTTATCTGTCCTTCCATTCTAAATGAAAGTTTTGCTGGCTAGAGTAATCTTGGTTGTAGGTCTTTGGATTTCATGACTTGGAATACCTCTTTCCAGCCCCTTCTTGCCTGTAAGGTCTCTTTTGAGAAATCTGCTGACAATCTGATGGGTACTCCTTTGTAGGTGACTGTCCCCTTAGCTCTTGCTGCTTCTAGGATTCTCTCCTTCATTTGAATCTTGGCTAATGTAATGATGATGTGCCTTGGTGTGTTCCTTCTTGGGTCCAACTTCTTTGGGACTCTCTGAGCTTCCTGAATTTCCTGGAAGTCTATTTCCTTTGCCAAATTGGGGAAATTTTCCTTTATTATTTGTGCAAATAAGTTTTCCACTGGTGGCTGTGCCTTTCCCCTTTCTGGTACCCCTATAATTCGGATATTGGAGCGTTTAAAGATGTCCTGGAGATTCCTAAGACTCTCCTCATTTCTTTAAATTCTTGCTTCTTGACTCTTTTCTGTTTGGCCATTATTTGCTTTCTTCTGGTCCACTCCATTGATTTGAGTCCCAGTTTCCTTTTCATTGCTATTGGTTTCCTGTGCAATTCCGTTCATTTCAATTAGTTTCGCCTTCATATGTTTCTCTAATTTGTGGCTATAATCAACCAGTTTTGTGAGGATCCTGATCACCAGTGTTTTAAACTGTGTGTCTGAGAGTTTTGCTATTTCTTCATAGCTTAGGTCTATGGGCTCAGGGATTTTGAGTATTTGCGACATTTTTGGTCTGTTCTGGCCCTTTAAGTGTGAGAAGCGGCGCCTTGGACTCCCTGGTGGCTGGGTTGTGACGCTGTATGTGGGGGCGTGGTCAGAGCGGGGGGGGATGGCGGCGCCCTCTACTGCCGCTTGCCGCGGGGACGCCGGGCCCGGTCCAACCGCCCACTCCCTCGCCTGTGCGCTCTCGCACAAATAGGCGACCCCAGTCAACACGCAGCACCGCTTCCCCGCTGTCTCCTCCGCGGTCGCTGGCCTGGTCACTCACTCGGTCGCTCACTAGGTCCAACCCTGCGCTTGGATTCCGCGTCTGGATTCCGCGCCTGAGCCCGTCTGACCAAGTCCTCCTGTGCAATCCCACTCCACCAGCCACTGGTTTCGCCCCTTACCGGTCAGGCTGCAGAATTTGTTGTTAACGGACTTCCGAAAAGTTCAATTTTCCGTGTTCTGGCTATGTTTTGTGTTGCTAATATTTAGTTGTCCCTAAACTTGGTTGTGTGAGAAGGCACCGCACATCCACCTATACCTCCATCTTGGCGGAAGTCCCAGGTTTCTTGAGAACAACCAGAGTCTATGTGATTTTGTTCTCTTTAATAAAGGTAGTTATTAACTTATAATGACAGACAATTTAATTCATTTGCTTTATATCAACTTTTTGAGCAAAAAAAAAAGAGGGGGAAAAAGCCCTCTGTTCATTTCCTGGGTCATAATACAGGGATTTGGCAATAAGCCTACCTTGTTTAGATATAGTTATCAAAGCTAGGGTTAAAGGGAATGTGGTAATATTCATGCCACATGATATTTATTAGATGGATGGGGCTCTGGAAACCAAATGAAATAGGGTGTCTCAGACACCCAAAGGCCAGAAGCAGCTGCTATGGCGACTTCAGATGCCTATGTCAGGAGCTTATCTCAAGGGCAGGGCTGCACTTTGGCTTCTGTCAGTGTTTTTCTGTTTTGCTGGGGTTTTTTTATGGGCAAGAAAAGAATATAGGAGAGTTGTTCAAGCCAGTATGCTGGACCTATGCCCATGACACTTAATTCCCTTGTCATGAGGGCTGTGAGACCACTAATGGTTTTGTTCCTTAATAAGAAGTATGGTTAGAGAGGGGAACATGCCTAGTGAGGCTAACACTGTAGGCCAATAATCAGAACAACACAGGAGGAAGCATTTTCAGCTTGTGAAAAAATGGGTTCTGTAGCCCATTTTCTTCTGAATAAAGAATGAAAAAGAAAGGCCCTGTTGATGGTGGGAAAAGGTGCAAGCTTCCCAGACAGGATGACTCACTCCATTGCCATTGGGGAGTTTTGAAGGCACGAGTGATGGCCTCTCAAGGTCTACATGTACCCTATGCTGTCTCCTGACTGGAAGCACACACTTAGGATGTTTGTACTTTGAGAAACCCCCTGAGGTTCACCTTGGTATGAGGTTAAAGAGTGAGCAAAGAGAATCTCACCCCAACTTTCTCTTTGAGAAGTGTATATTCTTTGTATCAATTACTTGAGTCTCCCTCATTAAAATTTATCTTTGTAGAGAACTGTCTCTCTGCATACTTAATTCAGTCTTATTTTGCATAGTTTTTCACAGCCTTCAGAATGATTTGATGGAGCATAGGTCATTTAATTCTCCCAAGAGCTATATAAGTTAGGCGAGAAACATATTGTCTCCTTTTTTCACATTAATTGAAGCCAGAAATGATTAAGTAACTCATGCAAGGTTATAGCTTGAAAGAAGAGCTATATATAAGTTGACCAAACATTCCAGGTTGCCAAATAGTGTCCCACTTTTAGCACTGAAATTCCCATGTCCTGGGGTAGCCTTTTATTCCTGAACAAACCTGAGTGATTGGTCACACCTATAGCCAGGATTAGAACCCATATCTCCCAACTCTCAGACCAATGCTAGTGCTACAGCCCTATGCCATCTATATTCCAAGAACTTATCTGAGTAGTGTTTCCCCTTCTCTACACCTTGGCGCACCAGAACATTTGTTCATGTTGGGTCTTTTTCCCCTTCTATTCTGCCTAGGACAGAAGCAATAGCAGTTAGGTGCCCTCAAAGGCACTTCACACAATTTTCATGAAAAAAATCATACTTCAGCTTTATCAGCCACAAATGAAAGATGATACTCCCTATATTGCTTACTTCACATGGGTGTTGCATGGAACAAATAATATTGGATGCAAAAGTGCTTTCTAAACTCTTAATAATCAGTGACATGTGAGAGATTGTGGTTATTCTCTGCCCCCACCCCAGATAGAAGCCAGCTTCTTGTTTTATCATTCTCTTTCCAGTCAACAAAGTGATGTAGCCACCAACTATGTGAACTGTAGCCAATTACTTGGCCTTTCTGCTTTACTTTCTTCATATTCAGACTAAGGATAATAATCATCCCTTCTATGGTTGTTTCAGTGATTTAATTAATTATTACACATAAAACATTTCAAAGGGTTGCTGGCACATGGTCAGGACTGTATAAGCATTAGCTATCTTCAGTTGTCTTCCCCAGTATTTCTACCTCAGAGACAGAGACAAGATTAAGAGGACACATAAATCAAGTGACATGGAAGCTACTACTTATCTTGCAATCTATTTCCACTAGTTCCCTAGTTTTTTTGTGTTCTGTACCCACAGTCCTCCCATCATGGATTGCCAAGAAAATGAGTACTGGGACCAATGGGGACGATGTGTCACTTGTCAACTGTGTGGGCCTGGACAAGAGCTTTCCAAGGTAAGTCCCCATGGCCAGAATACTTTTTCTGTTATGTCTTGGGAACCATCTGGCAATTGGGAGTGTCCAAGATCAGGATAGCCCCACCTGTGGCTAATACAGTTCAAAGGGCAAAATATGGAATCCAAGGATTATGAAAATAGCAGTCACAGCTCCAACAATAAGTGGCCCTGGCAAGATGAGGGTCAGAGGGGTGTTCTATGAAATAATGGAGTACCTCAAGAGGATATGTGAAATGCAGAAGCCTAGGAAGACTATTTGGCATTAGAAAAATCTGTCAACTAAAGCAGGGCCCATCCACTTGAGGTTCGGGAGCCAAATATCAGGTCTTGGGAATAGGAGAGAACTAAGACTGTGGAAGTTGTTCAAAGGAGGATTAAGGGATAGGGAACTAGGGATAGTCTAGAATCTCAATTGGTAGAAAGGGTCAGAACAAAATGACCAGCAAGTTGGGCACCTTTTACTGAACCCTAGTTTGCCAAGATACGGCTCCTTTTTTTTTTTTTTTTTTTTTTTTGGCCTCAGGTCTCTGTTGGTCCCAGAACCTGGGGGTGAAGTTAAATTTAGGGTGAAGTTGGGCCCAAAAATGTAGAAGTAGATGGCTAACAGATGTTTTCTTCACACATATCTTTTTATATATTTTATTGAATTTATCAGGGTGACATTGGTTAATGAAATCATGTAGTCATCAAGTGTATAATTATATAAGAGATCATCTGTACAAGGCATGGACAGAGTAGGTTTATAGTTGTTCATATGAAAAATGATTCACTAATTAATAAATAATAATATAAGAATAAGCATTGTGTTTTACATACAACTGTAGACCTACTTTTGTCCCACCCTGTATATTGTATTATATGTTCACCACCCAAATTCTAGTCTCTTTTCGTCATCATTTATTCCCCCTTTACCCTCTTCTACCTGCCTCTACCCCCTTTCTCTCTGGTAATCACCATACTGATGTCTTTCACACTCATATCTTATTTTCTGCAGTCATTCAAAATTCAGCCATCACTTATTGCACACCTTCAAAGTGGCACATATTGTTGTAGGCATATTACATATGGTGAAACAGATTCAAACCTTTGCCCTGATGGACCTTATCCTTTATTTAGTGAAACAAACAATGAATGAGACACATACATAAATAAATAATTTAGATATGGAGGTATGATGAGAATTAAATCAGGATGATTTGATACAGAGTGATTTTATGGCTACTTTAGATATAGTAGCAGGAAAAGGCGTCTCTAAGGAGGTGCCTTCTAGGGAAAGGATACAGCTAATGCAGATGCCCAAGGTAAGAATGAACTAGGCATGTTGAAAGAAGAAGAAGATTAGTGCAGCTGATGAGTGAGAGGTGAGTGAGAGTGGTACACAATGAGATCACAGAGAGAGGTGTGGGCCAAACCATGTATAGTGTTAAAATGTATTATTAGAATTTTACATTTTTCTCTAAGTGTTCAAGGAATGCCTTAAAAGGTTTGGGGTAGGAGAGTGACATAATCCTCTGGTTGAAGGAAAATATAACTATTATTTAGCCCACTTCTTTCTACCTATCTGCTTCACCTATGAAGAGACTGAAGCTTAGGGATATCAACAGATACAAGCCCTAACTCTAATTTTACCCCTTTGCATATAACATGCTGTACCACAGTGGGGTGCCAACATGATTGAAAAGGGATCCCAGGACCAAGGAAACATCATCAGAAGTTAGGTCATGCTGGACATTAGGATGGACCTGATGAAATCTTTTTTTTTCTTTTTGCTTTAACTTTATAATTTTAAAATGTATTTAAAGCTTTCCACTTAAGATCAGAAATAAGACAAGGGTGTCTGCTTTCACTACTCTTATTCAACATAGTACTGGAAGTTCTAGCCACAGTAATAAGACAAGGAAAAGGAATAAAATGCATTCAAATTGGAAATGAGGAAGTAAAACTATCATTTTTGCAGATGACATAATAGTATACATAGAAAACCTTATAATCTCCACCAAAAAAACTACTTCATCTATGTTTTTCAATTATAGTTTACATTCAATATTATCTTGTATTACTTTCAGATATGCAGCATAGTAGCCAGACAATCATGTACTTTACAAACTGTTTCCACTGATATTTTCAGTACCCACCTGGCAACATACATAATTATTATAATATTATTTTTTAAGATTTATTTATTTATTTTTAGAGAGAGGGGAAAAAGGAGAGAAAGAGAGGGAGAGACACATCAATATGTGGTTGCTTCTTGTGTGCCCCCTGCTGGGGACCTGGCCCACAACCCAGGCATGTGTTCTGCTTGGAAATCAAACTGGCAACCCCTTGGTTTGCAGGCCCACACTCAATTCACTGAGCCATACCGGCCAGGCTGTTATTATAATATTATTGACTATAATTCCTATACTGTATTTCACATTCCCATGACTATTCCATAACACCAACCGGTACTTTTCAATTCCTTCACACTTTTTACCTATTCCCCCAATTCCCCCTCCTCTGGCAACCATTATTCTTGCTCTCTGCATCTATGAGATTCATCTTATTCTGTTTCGGTTTGTTTATATACTTCTTTAAATTCCACATACATAAGTGAAATCATATGGTATTTGTTTTTTCTCTTACTGACTTATTTCATGTAGCATACTACCTTTTCATTCCATTCATGCTATTACAAATGGTAAGATTTCATTATTTTTATGGCTAATATGCAATTGTATATATGTACCACCACTTTTTTATCCACTTGTCTATGGATGAGCACTTGGGTTGCTTCCATATCTTGGCTGTTGGAAATAAAGCTACAATGAATATGTAGTTGCATATATTCTTTCAAATTAGCATTTTGGGTTTCTTTAGTTATATACCTGGAAGTGTAATCACTGGGTCATAAGTCAGCTCCCTTTTGAATTTTTTGATGAACCTCCACACTGTTTTCCATAGTGGCTGCAAAAGCCTGCATTCCCACCAGCAATGTACAAGGGTCCCCTTTTCTCCACATCCTCCCCAGCACTTGTAGTTTGTTGACTTGTGATGTGAGGTAATACTTTCTTGTGGATTTAATTTGCATTTCTCTGATGATTAATGATGTTGAGCATCTTTTCATGTGTCTATTGGCCATTTTTATGTTCTCTTTGGAGAAATGTATGTTCAGGTATTTTGCCCATTTTTAATTGGGTTTTGTTGTTATTGCTGCTGTTGTCATTGAGTTCTATAAGTTCTTTATAAATTTTGGATATTAAACTTTTACCAGATATATCACTGGCAAGTATGTTCTCCCATACAGTGGGTTGTCTTTTTATTTTGTTGATGGTTTCTTTTATCATGCAAAATCTTTTTAGTTTGATGTAATTCCATTTGTATAGTTTTTTTCCTTTGCCAAGGAGATATATCAGAATAATATTGCTATGAGAAATATTCAATATTTTACTGCCTATGTTTTATTCTGGGAGTTTTATGGTTTTGAGTCTTACATTTAAGTATTTAATTCATTTTGAGTTTATTCTTTTATGTTATGTATAAAAGTGATTTGGATTCTTATTTTTGCATGTATCTGTTCTATTTTTCAGACACGAATTATTGAATATACTGTCATTACCCCATTTTATGTTCTTGCCTCCTTTATCAAATGCCAATTGCTCTCTGCAATTTTATAGGCAAGGGAACATATAGGCAAGGGATTCTTTCAGGGCTGTATATACCTTGTTCCATTCAATTACATCTCAGTTTTTATACCAATGTCATGTTGTTTTGGTTACTGTAGCCTTGTAGTATAGTTTGACATAGAGGGAGAGGAAGGGAGAGAAAGAAAAATTGATGTATGATATATCCAACATAGTTATTTCTCAAAATTGCTGTATCTATTAGAGGTCTTTTGTGGTTCCATATAAATTTTTGGATTATTTGTTCTAGTTCTGCAATATATACTATTTATATTTTGACAAGAACTGCCTTAAATCTATAGCTTGTTTTCAGTACTTTGGATATTTTAATGATGTTAATTTGTCTAGCTATGAGCATGTTATATATTTCCATTTATTGGTATCATTTTCAATTTCTTCAGAGTCTTACAATTTCTCAAGTACAGGTCTTTTTGAAAAGATTTTATTTATTTATTTTCAGAAAGAGAGGAAGAGAGGGAAAAAGAGGGAGAGAAACATTGATGTGCAAAGATAAACACTAATGAGTTGCCTATTGCACACCCCCAACTGAGGAACTGGCCTGCAACCAAGGCATGTGTCCCAAAGGGAATCAAACCAGCAGCCTTTTGCTTTGCAAATCAGCACTCAATGCACTGAGCCAAAAGAGCCAAGGGCTCAAGTACAGGGTTTTTTACATCTTTGGTTAAATTTATTCCTAGGCATTTTCTTTTATTTTATTTATCTTCACCAAAGGACATTTATTTGTTTATTTTTTCCTTAGAGAGAGAGGAAGGGAGAGAGAAAGAAACTGATGCAAGAGAGAAACAGTAATTGGTTGCCTTCTCATTCACACCTGGACCGGGGATCTTACATGCCTGGACTGGGACCAAACCCACAATCCAGGTATGTGACCTGACTGGGAATGGAACCCACAACCTTTTGGCTATGAGACAATGCTACAATCAACTGAGCCACACCAGCCAGGGCTTAATTGTACTTTCTTTGATGCAATTGTAAATGGGATGGTTTTCTTATTTTGCCTTTCTGATAGTTCATTTTTTAGTATAAAATATAACTACTTGTTTATTTTCTGCTTTGTTTCCAGTGTCTTAGGAGATATATTGGCAAAAATACTTGTACATTCAATATTTGAGATATTACTCTTATTCTTCTAGGAAAATTCTAGAAGTAAAATCCTTTTCTTCTAGGATTTTTATGGTTTTGTGATTTACATTTAAGTCTTTTATCCACTTTGAGTTTATTTTTTCGTATGGTGTAAGTTGCTGGTCTAGTTTCATTTCTTTGAATGTACTAGTCCAGTTTCCCAACGCCATTTATTGAAGAGACTGTCTTTGCT